TGTTCGTAAGGGCGTCTCCTCTGTGAGGCTGAGATGGCAAAGGATGAGCCCTTTAATGCTCCGTACAGGGTTTTGCTGTGGTGGAAATATTTAAATCTAGTACCATAGGCATGCCCACTGGATATTTTACATTATATGTACAAAATATATGTTGATGTTTTATGCATGTATATTAAGTATTTATCACTAAGTGTATTTTATGACTTATTCAGTGTGATTTTGGCATCTCTAGTTGTCTGATTTTAGGTTTTGAATTCTTTACGTCTGGGCTCTGCAGGGTGACCTCGGTCTTGGCAGTCTGGGTGGGCAGGAGGGGGTGGCTCTTATCTCTGTGTCAGGAGTGAAGTGGGTTCAAGCCGTATCAATTAAAGAATCCTGTGCAGCGGTGGGGGACCCTAAATGCCAAGGTTCTAGCAGTGCCCCCAACGCAGGGGTGCTCAAGAAGACTCTCTCTCCAACTGCAGGAGCTCCTAGGTGACTCTGATGGGCAGCAGGGACACTCCAGCCTGTGGCAGGGAGCATCTCCCCTCCTCCAGGACATCCCAGGCCTCCCGCCTCCACTCCTGGCTGACAGGTCACTGGGGGTGCACTGCGGGGTGCAGGGGGTGAGGGTTCTGGCCGCACCTGCTGCTCTACCCGAGGGGCGCTCATCGGGAGCTCAGGCGCTGCTGCAGCTGGCGCAAAGATGGAAAGGTGCTCGGGGAAGAGCGGGCTCTGAGGCCCACCACCCAGGGCCACCTGGAGGCCTCGCTCAGGAGCCTGCAGCTCAGCACCCCCCTCTTTCTGGAGTATTTCTGGAGGCCCAGTCAAAGAAACTTGGTTCCCATGAGCTCTGCTAACTGTAGGGCACTGGAAGAGGGGAGGAGTCACGTTGTGACCCAAGGGGATGAGAGTCATTTTGTCCCCAAGGCTCTCCTTTCTTACTTACCCTGGGTCTTGGCCCAGGAGGAGCGGGCCTCTGGTGTGGACCTCTAACCTGGGACCTGCCATTGAAATCTTAATTCTATTGGTAGAAATCGCTCCGTCCAGGCCCAGGGCCCTGCACCTCGGGAGGAAAGGAGCCCATGCGCATGGCTTCTGGGTCCGCGGCCGAGCACCTGTCCTACTGTCTCTCCCAGGAGGAGGTGCCACCCTCCATGCATAGCACCTCTGGAGCTGGCCCTCAGGGCTGAGCACTGTCCCCCAACATGGTGCCCCAGTGAGCCGCAGGTTCAGGGACTTTGCGAGTCTCATCCACTGGTTTCCCACATCTGGCCAGAGGTTCTCTCTCTAGGTGGCCTCTTGTGAAAACAGTGTCCTGCCTCTGCAGGTCCAGTCACTCCCTGGGCCGAGGCCCACTTGCAGCTCCCCTGGACCCACACTGCCTTTCTCCCCGACCTGCCTCCACTCATCCTTGGGGCTCCCCTGCAGGGCCTTCAGACCTGTCAGTCTCGGATGGGGTCACATGGCTCACGGGTCTTTTCTAAACCTCTCTCTCCAACTGCATGGATTTTCTAGGTGCCACAGGAAACCCCTGGGAGAAACAGATAAGCCGCTCCCAGCTCCCATCCGGAGGGCTGAGTCCTACCTGCCGGTCCCTGTGAGCACTGCTCAATCTGCAAACAGACTCCTCTTCCAACCCTGCAAGTCCCGAGTCCTAGACTCTGCTGTCCTTGGCAGCTGCTCCGAGCAGAGGTTCTCTCTCTCCATAATCCCTTGCCCAGCAGTCAGGAGCAGGCTGCGTGGGTGACCTCACTCTATTTCCCAATCTGTAGCCCCAGGGCTTGCAGCTAATAGCTGGAGATCTGCCTCCCAGCTCCGGAGGTGTGAGTGACAGTTACCAAATGCTTTGCCTGTGTGCTGCCACAGCCTGGCACTGTGACCCCAGAACAGGGACCGTGATGTGGCAGGCTCCCCTGAGTGGGTGCTGCGGGAGCTGCGCCCCCTCAGTGCCCTATCTCTGCGATGCAGGGGTGTCTGGGTCAGTGTTCACAGACGGGACTGTGCCAAAGCTTTGTGAAGGAGGGTTACCAGACCCTGCCCCAAAGCCTCTGACCCAGAAGGTCTCAGGGTTCTGGGCATGGGCCCTTCTGACCGGGTGATATGCTGCTGACGACCTGTGGCCTTACTCTGAGAGCCAGTGGTCTGGGTTACCCACAGTCATGCACAATCCCACGGTGGCTTACAACAGCAAGATGTTCCCACAGGCCACACCAGGAGTTCAGAGGGTCGGCGGCCAGGGCGTCCCCAGGACCTGCCAGCAAGGCAGAACTTTGCAGAACTTGGCTGGTGTGCGAGGGAACCACACCTCCAGCCTTCAGAGGCAGGGGTCACGTGCGCTCAAGGGCATTGGCAGAGACAAGCCACATGCTGCCCCACAGCCACCAAGCCAGGGAGTCTGCTCCTGCCATAGGGCTGGAAGGGCAGCGCTGGAGAGCTTCAGGCATGTCCAGGAGGGTGCTGAGGAACCAGGGTGGAAAGTGAGCCTGGAACACCGTCGGGCTGAGGCCGAGCCTGCTGAGGCTCAGTCAGGAATCCTTGCAGGCCACACCCTCCCCTCCTCCCGAGGGTCTGACTGTCACGCCAGGCCCCTGCCACACTCCTCCTGTGACCACTGCCATTACACTGAGGGTTCCTACCATCCTGGGACTGTGCACTAAACACTGGCGTCATGCAGCGGGGGCCTGGCCACACTAAAGAATACAGCCAATCACGTGCGTTCACGGTGGAAACAGTCAACTTGATTTATTGAAAAACCATTACAATCATTCCTGGCTTACACAGGTTTGAGATACTTTGGAACGCCTTTCCTGGTCGTATGACATGTCTGCTGGATCTTTAGGACATGCTCGATGTGCCAGCCGGCAGGGTACTGTGGGGGCCCAGTGCCCTACAGCCATTCCTGTAGGTTTTCTGTTTACCAAGTTTTTTCTTCTCACCAAGGTTTGTCCCCTGACATGTGGGGAAGAAAAAATAAAATACGCCAGAAGAGTGTCTGCAAATACAAGAAGTAATTTTATTGCAATACGCGGGGGCTGAAGTTGGTCGGGCACAGGACAGGTTTGGACTTCAGTACACATCACAACACTGTGAGGGGACCGACAGAAAAAGACGGAATAAAAGGACACTCTGGATGGGGCGAGAAGTGGAAACAGAATCACATGACCTAGACGGAATCCACGGGCGTCACAGGGCAGTCCTCCAATATGGCTTTTCTCACAGGACATGAGCATGGTTGTCACCGGCAAATCCTGGCATCCCGGCTTCGAGAAATCTCCAAGCCAGACTTTTCTTTGGCAAGAGTGAGACTTGATTTCCAGGGACGTCTGGGACACTGGCGTCAGTGGTGTCCCTTATGCCTCGGGTGCTTTCGCTGTGGCTTCCTGAGCCGCACGGGGACGGGAAGGACTGCATTGGAGCATGAACCAGGCTCACTCCCAGGCCACCTGCGTTTCCCACGGTGGAAGGAAAGGACGCAGCCGAGGGCAGCTTTTCACAGTGAAGGGATTGCCTCTCCCGCTGGCCTCGGGGTCCTCCTGCCCGAACAAGAGGCCCCCTTGCCTTGGACAGCGGGGAGAAGGGACAATGCCCAGAGGGTCCCGTTCCAGCCCTGAGCTCCAGAGCGGCTGACGCCCGCATCCAGGACCTGTGCAGGTGGAAACCCAAAACGCTTCATGGGAAAGCGGCGCTGCGCAGCCCCGGGGAGCCTCAGAGTCCACTGCACAGTTCTCGGTCTGCTGGGGCAGCGCTGGGGCCACCCCACAGCTTCATCGCGGTCCTTGAAACAGACAGAAATTAGCACCACAAACATTCGGCGACCGAACACAACCTGCTGTGGGTACACCATGCACGAGGCAGGAAGTCTATTTTGCGTGTGTTTTCAAATTGTGTAGGCACAACCCGGTTCTGGTGACAGGCCCCGGGAGCAGCTTCCCCACCACCCAGAGAAGCAGCGGCTCTCAAGCCCACTGGGGAGGAGGTGACCGCGCTTATCTCAGGTCCTTGGCAAACACTGAGCTGGCGGAGGCCAGGGCTGGGATGGGGAGCCTGGAGGAGGAGGTCGGCCAGGCCCCCGTGTCGCTGCCCCGGGGATCTCAGGACACATAGCACCACAAGAGAAGTGTGAACATCAGCACCAGTTTTCACCTGATTCTCCACTACAGAGAATGCGGTTCTCTGCCCTGGAATCTTCCCATCAGGTTCGGCAGGAAGGAAAATGGAAAAGGAAAGCCATCAAAATTAATTTAAGCCTGCTTGAACCTAAGGGCATGTAGAAAAGGCAGAGTCTCAAATTCCTTTTTCCT